CGTCCTGTGTCATCGGGATAAGTTGCGGATGGCCCTCTTTATGAGGGGTTTTGCCCCTGTTGGGGCTCAGGCCTTCGTTGTTGCCAACGGGGCATCCTGGCCTGTGGTTCTGGAACGGCTCGGAACAAGGTCCGCATGCTGCGTGAGGCCTATACTGCTTGCGCGCCGCGATAATGTCTCGCAGCTGAGTCCGCGCTTCTTGAATTTCAGGGCGGCGGATATTTGTTGCAAGCTGATAGCCTCCGCGGATGGCCTTGCCATCACTGTCCCTATAGGCAGGGTTGCCCTTGCCGAAGGCCGAGTGTTCCCCTTTTCGGCGTCTTGGGTCGTCGTGCGGAAGTAGCTGGCCACCTCTCCTAAGAGCGTGTTCTTTTGGGCCAGCCTGCCTCCACTCACGAGGAAGTCGAGCCTGTGGATGTGGCTCTTCTCTGACGCGCGTATGGGAACGAGACCTTCTGGTGTTCTCATCAGAAGAAGCTGCCGAAGCAGCAGGAGCGGCACCTGGTGGAGGTGCTTGAGGAGGCTCCTGTGCGATCCCAGATGGATCGTCCGATGGAGGCAGGTCTCCCTGCTGGATGGAGCTCGGCGCAAATGGCGCTTGTGCCGATGGTGATGATGATTCAGACTCGTCAGGATCGAAGTCAACCTCTTCCTCACCATTCACGTCCATCATGAGGATGGTGACGTCATCCTCATCTAACCCGCAACCATCGCCTTCAACTTCTTCTGATATCGAACTACCTATGATGATGGCCATTGGCGTATCTGGTACAGGCAAGTTTCCCTGCATAACCGGCGTCTGTGCGTCGCTCGGCTGTCCCGGGGTAGGAGGCGCTGTTGTCGGCTCAGGCTCGTTGCCGAGCACAGGCTGCCCGGCAATATTGCGCATGGCCGTATGGTTTGGCCACATTCCCACCGCCTGGAGACCCCATCCTGGCGGAGGAAGATCATGACCGCGCATAGCAATAGCCATTTCTAGAGCATTACGCCATCTACCACGGGAGTGTATCAAGTGTCTCTGCACGTCCTGAGGATGCACGCTGTCAATGAGAGTCAGAGCTGCCAACAACAGCTCTGAGCTACCACAAGCATCAGTATCCTGCATTATCATAATGTCAGCTTCGAAATGTTCTTGGCTCTCAGGATAACCAGTAATAAGTATCGCATGCATCCTCATAGGGGTCTGCAAAAGGGTGCGTGGTCCATATTCGCCTGGAGCAAGCGAACCAGGAGGTATAAACGGAGTATCTGGTTCGCCTGCAATGAAGGCCTGAACAAATGCCTGAGACTCCATTTCAATTAAGTCTTCAGTGGTCTGGGGATATTCCCCCATCAAAGACGGCCTGTTTCCAGGCGGGATTTCGGGCGGAGGTTCGAGGTGTCGTTGAACCTCGGAAGGCGAAGCCTCTATAGTGGTGTCCTCGTCGCTACTCTCGTAGCCCATGATGTTGCCTGGGTTCCCGAACATCCAGTCGAAGAAAGAAAGAGGCTGGTTTCCCAGCGTACCGTGATCCACGGGAGTGAGCTCGTTATTGCCAATAACGAACCGGCGGACGTACTCGAGGTAGTACGCGTACAATCCATGGCCATACGCCTCGAGCTCGTCGACGTTGTCCATGCCAACAACCCAAGTGAAACATATCTGCTCCATAGCCTCAAAGTCCTGGAGGCTCAGATACTCAATGGATGGTTCACTTGAGCCAAAATGGACTTCGGTCGACCTGCCCTTTCCATTTCCCTTCACTGGACAATCTCGCACAAGATGATCGGAACTACCACATTCGTGGCATTTAAGAACCTGGCCGTCTCTACCTCGCGGGTTTCCCCGCCGACCTTTGCCTTTTCCTGAGGTCTCTCTACGGCCTTTACCACGGCCTTTTCCCCCAAAGAATATCTCATCCTATTGCTCATCTGAGAGCCTCTGGAGAAATGCCGCGATGCCTCGTCCGTTCAACCTCCGACGACCTCGCTTACCTTTACCTTTTCCCTTAAAACTTCTCCGTGTCCTCCTTCTAACACGACGCACTGGTTTTCGTGTGAACCTCCTCCACCTTCGTTTAGCTTGTTGTAGTAACCAGAACAAATGTTCAGCGCGCTGATTGTCGTTATCCATATTCATGATATCTGACCAATCTAGAGCTTCAACACCATCTGATGATATAGTGTCTGTATCGGTGCCGGAGTCGAAATCCTCGTCTCCCAAGTAGGTGGATACACCGTCGGTTAGGGGGTATGATTCCCCCCATAAGGAGCGGTGTGGTTGTGGTTCTCTAGAAGGAGGGCTGGTTGCCCAGCTTGGTTGTGATCGATCCCCTGCTAATAAAGCAGTGGATTCTCCTGGGTCATCGGCCCATATGCTTGAGGGCCCGTTTCCAGGCTGGGCTTCAGTAGTCAAGGTAGTGTAGAAATTTCCACTACCAGATCCCCTTCCCCTTCCAAACACAGATCCTATGTTACCAGGAGACCGTTCAGATAGGTGGCCTATCGAACGCATCCTCTCCAGCAACTCATCATACTGTTGTTGTGTTCGGGGCATTTGGTGATTGAGTGGCTGTAAGAGTTGCATGGCTCGCTGGTTGCCGACGCCTAAGGCGCGGAATAGGATAGTGGTTAGCAGTTGGAAGTTGGGAAGGTCGAATCCCACCGACTGTGCCTCAAGTCGGGCCATTTCGAATCGGGTAAGGGTGACATCGATTCGTTCCCCGTGAGGCACGTGGAAGTCGATGAGTTGTGTGCCGGAAGTGAGCTGTCGCTCATCTTCCAGGCGTTCGAACTTCATGCTTAGGAGGAACATGATGTAGGTCACTGGGTCTGTGTGGACCCCATCGATGTCAGCACCATAGTTTATAATGTCAGGCGGTACCCTCATGGCGAGTGTCCTCGCTAGGCCACCTAGGCCGCGTTGTATTGCGGCCGCTTGGGCCTGTGGCGTCATACGTCCGCTTGTAACGTTGAGCCATGCGTTGACCTCGTAGATGTACTCACGAAAAGGTACATTACCTTGAGGGTCCCAATATGGGCCATGTGTTTGCCCATCGGTGCTGTTTTCTCCACGACGCATGTGTCCGATTGCTGCCCCCAGCGCGAACCATATAATAGCGAAAACGACTAGCCCGAGAATGTGTAGAGAAGGACGGTTATGATGCGCGTTGTCGCGCTGGGGTAGCGCCTTGTCGAGTCTTCGAGGCGCTCTGTCTGGCGGGTCTCCCCGCCCCTGCTTCAAGTATTGCGCTGTTAGCTCGTTGCCGAGCGGTTGGTGGTAACGCAATGATGAAGCGTATATGGTACCAGTCTGGTCGTCTAGACGTCGTACCTCTCGTGTTGCTTCTTGCTCTTGGATAGATCCTCGTAAACGTACTGGGAGTGGTGGCGCAGGGTGGTAGGTGGTCACGAAGATCGTGCCGAAGAATATGAGGCTAAGAAGAGCAAGAGCTGACCACACGAGAGTGCGGCCAGCTCCGCTACCAAGTCGAAAGTGAGCCTGGTAACTCAAATAGCATCCGATTCCGTAGACATCGGATGGCAAATAGCGTCCGGTATCGTACTGACGTGGTTCAGTAAGAGGAATGGACGGATAAGATAGGATAAGATCGATGTATCGGTCTTTCCAGCACATAGCGAACACTCGCGGTGTCCGGGCAAATAGGGCGCGCGTGCCTTGGGCCAAAGGCAACGGCGCGCGCGAGCTATGCTCCCGATACTATAACATCTCCCAAAGACCTACCCTTAAAGTCCCGGGGCGTCTTGCGACTATCTTGGAGGTCCACTTGAGGCTCTGTAAGGCCGTGTGGGGGTGGGGCTCGTCGGGCCTCGTGGGCCAGCTTGGGGCGATCTTGTAAGTACATGGAGCCGCGTGGGGCCTTCTGAATCCGCACTGGAAAGAATAAGAAAGCCCGTGGAAGCACACATGGTTATTGCTTGACTTTTCGCCTCCAAGGAAGGGTGAGTAGGGTTTGGTCTGGGGCCTCTCTGGAGTGTGGGGCTTCTTTGGGCTTTTTAGCGAAGCCTGAATCGACGAAAGGTGCTGAGGTTGGAGGCTCTCTCGGGGGCCTGATTGGCAACTGTCGGAGTGTGCTGGGGGGCTCTAGAGCAGCTCGGAGTGGTCGTCGTTGGAACAGCTATTGGAACCCTCTCAGGCCATCTTGGAGCCCTCTTAACTCATGAAATGGGGCTCTTTTGGGCCGTCCGGAGGAGGAGGAGGAGGAGGAGGAGGAGGAGGAGGAGGAGGAGCTGGGGGCTGTCTGCGAGCCTGGCGTTGGCCCTCATGGGCAGCTCCTAGGGCGCCTTGGGGTGCCACTTTGAGGCTTTGTGAGGCCCTCTGGGGCTGTCTTGGGCCGTCTTGGGGCAGAACACGACACCAGAAAACAAGGGGAAGGAGAGGGAATAAAGGGGGATGGAGCAGGGAGGAGACGGGAAAAAAGGAACGCGACAAAAACAAGCCAAGCTCAACCGCGCCACGCACGCTACGGATAGAACAACAGGGCAAACAAGGGCAAGCACAAACTAGCGAACGAAACCAGGGCCCTCTTTGGCCTTCTTGTCGTGCTCGTCGGAGCCTCGTGGGCCATCCTGTGGCGACCATACGAGTGTCTGGCGTCGCGTGGGGCCGCTCTGGTCCTGTCGTCGGGAGAATGCGAAACGCCTTCGAACACAACAGATGATCATTTGATGTTTGGCCTCATGGGGCTGTCATTGGGGCCGTCGTCGGGGGTCCTCGTGGGCAGTCTGTGGAGACTCATGGCGAGTCTCCTGGCCTTCTTGGGCCGCCATGGCGCTCGCGTGGTGTCCTCCCGGGCCGTCCTGCCGCACTCTTGAGAGCATCAAAGCTGTCCTGGAGCCGTCTGGGCCCGGCTTTGGGGCCATCGGGGGGCCCGCTGGAGCCGGCGTGTAGCGCCCAGAGGCGCGCGAGGACCTCGCGCTGCTCGCCCCTTTCGGCCGCGCTTCGCCCAGAATTGTAGTACCGAAGACGTTGAGCTCCAGCTTCTCCTCCCACATCTCGCTCAGCAGCGCCAGCGCCCGCTGCCCTTATCGCACGCGCTGATCCCAGCGCTGTAGCTGACTAGTGCTGACCCGTGGCCCAGTGGCCACGACATCTGTCCAAGATGGCACGTTGGGCCAGGGCAGAGATGTTGAAGAAAGGCGGCCCGGAAGATGTTGGTCGCCTCTGCTATTGCTGCCTGCAGCTGCAGGCTGCTGCTGCATGCGAACTTGTTGCTTTAGCTCGCCTACGTTGTTGCTGCTGCTTACTTTTGCTGTATGCTGCCGCTGCTTGCTGCGGACTGCTGCTGTTCGCTGTTGGCGCTTCAGGCTGCGGAGTGCTGCTTGTGGGTGCCCTGGCCAGCTGACGCACCCTGCAGCTCGTGAGTGGACCGAGGCATGAGGAGCAAGAGGCGAGGTCTCGGGGACGCGGGGGAGCTGGGGGAAGCGAGGAGCGATCCGCCAGGTGCAAGGAGCGAGAGGGGAGGAGCGACGGCCGAGGACAGAGAAAGGCGAGGAGGGCCAAGGGGGGGCCGAAGAGGAGGGGGGAGGCAGGCGCCAGCAGCCGAGAGGGCGAGGCGAGGCACCAGGGGAGAGGCGGGAGGAGCACTGGAGGAGCGATGCGAGGGGAGCCGGAAGCGAAGAGGAAAGAGAGAGAGAGAGAGAGAGAGAGAGAGGCGAGGAGCGAGGAGAGGGCAGCGCGGAGCGAGGAGCGTGGAGCGAGACGAGAGGAGCGAGAAGGGAGGCCTCCTCCTCCTCCTCCTCCACCTCCTCCTCATCCTCCTCCTCATACTCATCCTCGTCCTAATCCCCCCTCCTCCTCCTCCTCCTCCTCCTCCTCCTCCTCCTTATCCTCATCCTCATCCCACTCCTCTCCCCTCTCCTGCTCCCGCCTCTGCTCCTCCTCCTCCTCCTCCTCCTCCTTCTCCTCCTCCTCCTCGTCCTCCTCCTCCTGCTCCGACTCCTCTTCATCTAGCTCCCATCAGTCCTCCTCCGAGGCCAGGGCACGAATATATCAGTGGCCTCGGCGCGCTTGTCGTCGTCGGGTCGTTCACGGGGCCCCCTTGGGGTCAGATCTTAGGCCTGGCTTGGGCAGGCTGGGGCCCTCTGGGGCTTCTTGGGGTCCTCGTGTGGGCCCGCTGGCGGTCCTCGGGTCTCATCTTGGGGCGTGGGGTGCGACATGTTAGATCGAGTTCCCTCTCTTGGAACCCTGTTGGGTCCCTCTTCGAGCTGTGATGGGCAATGTTTGGGGCCTCCTGGGGCCCTCTTGAGCTGCCCGCCGTCTTGGGGCGATATTGGGGGCTACTTGGGCCGTCTTGGAGCGTCGGAAGACCGAAAGGGCGAGGCGAGAACGTCAACTATACCCGTGCGGCACAAGACGACCCGAACCAGCTGTCAACATGTGCCAACGAGAGGGGCACAGAAGGAGACACCAAGAGGGACCACAATCTATAATACCACCGTAAGATGCACTGGGCAAGCTGCAGCACGAAACCACTGGAGACCATCTGGAGGCCGCGGGAGATCAGGGCGCCCGACCCATTCCAGGCCTGGCGATTACAGCACTCGGTTGCGTAAACTGAGCTATTGAATGCCATGGCAAACCAGTGTGTCAGGGAGCTCTGCTCTGCCCTGCCCTCGTGGAGATGGGGTTGAAGCCCCTTGTGGCCGCTTGGAGCCGGACTTGATTGGACAGGGCACGCGACAGGACACAAGACCCCTGAGAGGGCCACAGTGCCATAGGAATGCATGAGGCATGGGTCGCGAGGCACAGGACACAAGGGCACCCTTTGATTTGGCAGGGTCGACCTACTAATCAAGGCCGACTGTAGAAGCTGTAGACGCCTCTTAGGCCTTTTTTGGCCTTCCTGGGGCCCTCAGCTTGAGCTGCCTTGTGGCTGTCTGGGGTTCGCTGGTGCGTTTCTGGGGCCGTTTCGTTTGGGAGCCGTCTTGGGGCGACCTGCGCTGCGCGTCGAGCTTTTTGGGGGTCCTCTTGGGGCGTATTGGGCCGTCTTGGGGATTCCCCTCTGAGGCTGTCTGAAGGGAATGGCCTGCTTGAGCGCTGCGAAGGCGAACAGCGCGCATGTACGTTTTCTACAAGGATTGGGACGATGTTGGCCTTTCATGGCTGTCTTGGGGGCCCTTTTGGACCTCTCTTGGGGCGTCTTGGGGGCCTCCTGAGCCGTCGTCACACAAACTAAAGCCGTCTTGGGGCCGTTCTGGGCGCCTCTTCGGCAAACTATGGGCTCGCTTGGGCCGTATAGGGAGCGTGGCCCGAGGCCCGCAGGGCTGTCCAAGCTGCCCTGGGGGCGTTTCTTCGGTCTCCCAGGGCCTCTCGCAGTCAGCACCTTCTGGTGCGCGCGAGTTCCTACAGTGTAGAAGAGATGACGTCGGGCTCCAGCTTCACCTCCCACACCTCGCTCGGCAGCGCCAGCGCCCGCTGCCACTGCTCGCCCTTCTCGCACGCGCTGATCCCAGCGCTGTAGCTGAAGATGTTGGGCTCCGGCTCCACCTCTCACATCTGGCCCAGCAGCGCCAGCGCCCGCTGCCACTGCTCGCCCTTTTCGCACGCGCTGATCCCAGCGCTGTAGCTAGCTAGGGCTGGCCCGCGGCCTTCCAGCCGCGGAATCTGCCCGCCATGGCGTGGACGTGGAAGTGGAGCGTCTCGGGGGTCTCGCAGGTGAGGGGAGGTTGGAGGGGACGGCGTGGATGGAGGAGGTGGCCGCTGGAGGGGTGGGTGGGCGAGAGATGCAGGCAAGCAGGCCTGAAGACAGGGACGCGGTGGTGGAGGCGGTGTCAGTGGAAGCGCGCCCATGTAGGCATGACATGGTGTGGACAGAAGCTGTTTCTCACGCCGCAATCTGTGTTCATCATAGCTTCTGCGGGGAGGGTAGCCGTGATAATTCTATCTGCTCTTCGCCGGGGCCGAGTGATAATTTTATCTGGTAATGTGGTGACAGTGGGGCAGGGGGGCGCGGCCTAAGCGGCCTGGCGGCGAGACTGCCCAAAAGGTCTGCAGAACGGACCAAGAGGCTTCCCAGACGGCCCCAGAGGGCCCCACGAACTTCCTAAGACTGGCCCAGTGCGAGGACACGAATTTTCCTGAGCGCACCGCCCCAAGACACCCCCCAAAGGCGCAGAGATGGCTCCCAGAGGGTCCAAGAAGCTCCCAACACGACGCTGGAAGTTCGACGCTCCCCAACAGATAAGGATCCAAGGCCTCTTGGGGGCCGTTTGGGGTCCTCTTTTCGTCCTCCTGGGAGTCTCTCGGGGCCCTCTTGGGCCGTCTTGAACGCCTCGTGGGCCGTCTTGGGGCGATGTGGGGCCGTCTCGGGCGCCACGACCATCTTGGGGCCGTCTTGGAGCCATTTGGGGTCGATCTTGGCCGCTCTTAGGAACTGTCTTGGGTGTTTCATGGGCCGTCTCGGGCGCCTCTGGAGCCGTCCCGGGGCCGCCCCGGGGCCGCCCCGGGCCGTTTTGAAGTCCTCCTGGGGGTGTCTGGGAGCGTCTTGGGGCGATCCGAGGGCCTGTACAGCCGCCTTGGAGACTGTGCAGACGGAAAGGCTTGGAGACGGGGCGGTAGGGGCCTGTACAGCCGTCTTGGAGATGGGCCGGTCGGGCCGTCTTGGGCCATTATTGGCTGCTCTTGGAGATGTCTTGGGTGCGTCTTGGGCCGTCTCGGGCGCCTCTGGAGCCGACCCGGGGCCGTGTGGGGCCGTTTGGGGGCCTTCCTTGGGGCCTCTGAGCGCGTCTTGACGAAAAAACAACACATACTAAAAAACATCGCTTCCAGTTGGGAATGCGACGATTTTTGCCTCTTGGGGCTCTCCTGGAGGCCCTCCTGCGCCATCTTGGGAGCCTCCTGGCTTGCCTTGGGGGCCTCTGGGGCTGTCTCGGGGCTCCCAGGGGTGCTCTGAGGCCGTCTTGGCGCCCCCTGGAGCCTCTCGGAGCCGTCCCGAGGCCGTTTTCGGAGCATCCCGACCCCCTCTGAGCCGTTTTGGGGTCGGCACCCTCTTTCAAGGCAGAGACCCTTCTCGCACGCAAAGGTCGCTGCATTGTAGAAGAAATGACGTCGGGCTCCAGCTTCTCTTCCCACATCTCGCTCAGGAGCGCCAGCGCTGGCTGCCACTACTCGCCCTTCTCGCAGGCGCTAATCCCAGCGCTATAGCTGATGACGTTGCGCTCCAGCTTCACCTCCCACATCTCGCTCAGCAGCGACAGCGCCCGCTGCCACTGCTCGCCCTTCTCGCACGCGCTGATCCCAGCGCTGTAGCTGAAGATGTTGGGTTCCAGCTTCACCTCCCACATCTCGCTCAGCAGCGCCAGTGCTGGCTGCCACTGCTCGCCCTTCTCGCACGCGCTGATCCCAGCGCTGTAGCTGAAGATGTTGGGCTTCAGTTTTATCTCCCACATCTGGCCCAGCAGCGACAGCGCCCGCTGCCACTGCTCGCCCTTCTCGCACGCGCTAATCCCAGCGCTGTAACTGACTAGGGCTGACCCGTGCTCTCCATCCATGAAATCTGCTCCCTCTTGGGCCGTCCTGGGGGCCTCTTGGGCTCTCTCAGGGTCATGGTGGGCGTCCAGGGCCGTCTGAGAGCCTGCTTTGGACCCTCTTGGACAGCTCCTGGGGCGACTTGGGGGACCACTTAAAGCTCTGTCAGGCCATCTGGGGCCTGTCTTGGCCCGGCTTGGGGCCCTCTTTGGCCGGCTTGGTGCGCTCGTCGCGGCCTCTTGGGCCATCTTAGAGCGATGGTAACAGTGCCTGGAGCCGCGTGGAGCCGTTCTGGGCCCATGGGGAGAATGTGTAACACCTTTGGAAGACAGAACATTGTTGCTTGATGCTTGGCCTCGTGGAGCCGTCATCGGAGTCCTCGTCGGCCATGGGTAGGGCCTCCAGGCTGGTGTTCGGGACCTCTTGAGCCGCCATGGGGGTTGCACGGGATCATCTTGGGCCGTCCTGCCGCCATCTTAAGAACGCCAAAACTGTCCTGGGGCCGTCTGAGGCCAGCTTTGGGACCATCGGGTGACCCGCTGGGGCCAGCGTGGGGTGTCCCCAGGCTCGCGAGGATCTCACCCTGCTCGACCCTTTCGCTCGCGCTGCGACCAGAATGCACTTATTACAGATAACGTCGGGGACCAACTTCGCTTCCCAGATCTCTTTCAGAAGCACCAGGGCCATTTGCCACTTCTCACCTTTCTCGCACGCGCTGATCCCAGCGCCAAAGCTGATGACGTTGGGCTTTACAGTTACCTCGCACATGCCACTAAGCAGCACCAAAGCCATCCGCCACTGTCCCCCCTTCTCGCACGCGCCGATCCCAGCGCTGTAGCTGATGACTTCGGCCTCCAATTTCGCCTCCCACATCTCGCTGAGCAGCGCCAGCGCCTGCTGCCACTGCTCACCCTTCGCGCAGGCGCTGATCCCAGCGCTGTAGCTGATGACGTCGGGCCCAAACTTCGCCTCCCACATCTCGCTGAGCAGCACCAGAGACCGTTGCCACTGCTCGCCCTTTGCGCACGCGTTGATCCCAGCGCTGTAGCTGATGACGTTGGGCTCGATCTTCGCCTCCCGCATCTCGCTAAGTAGCGCCAAAGCTCGCTGCCACTGTTCTCCATCCGCGCAGGCGCTGATCCCAGCGCTATAGCTGATGACGTTTGGTTCCCACGTCGCCTCCCTCATCTCACTGAACAGCGCCAAAGCCCTCTGCCACTGCTTGCCTTTACCGCATGCGTTGACAATCGCAATGTAACAGCCTGGGGTGACTGTCGAACGCGATCGAGACGCTTCGTTGAAGAGTTTCAGCGCTGTGCTCCATTGCTTTGTCCTCCCACACTGCTTTATGTCCACTTCCAATGATCGGGTCGGGCGACAGGGGGGGATAGCAAAGGGGGGGTTGAGAATCAGCTCACGTAGCTGATTTCCCCGGCGCCTCCCGGCCCCGGGAGGCGCCCATGTGTACATCGAGGAATGGGCCCGGCGGCGGGGCCGAAACCAGCTGCATGCAGCAAATTTCGTACCCCCCCCCTTTCCCAATCCCCCCCTTTCGTCCGGCCCGACTGTGCTCCATTGCTTTGCGCTCCCGCACTGCTTAATGTCCGCTTCCAATGACGAGCCACCGTGCCGCGTTCCCCGTTGGATATTCCTCATCGAACAGGATGTCGGACGAGGCCTTGAACCCTCGAGCCAAATCGGAAACGTACGGAGGATCGGCCGCGAGCGAGGGGGGGAAGTGAGGAGGAGAAGGCCTTCTCAGAAGGCTCTGAAGTCCCCCGGCCTTCCGAGAAGGTTTCCTAGAAGCCTCCCCCGAAGACAGACAGAAATCTTCCCCGAGGGCGCGAGGGCTTCCGAGAAGTCCCGCCGCCTTCCGAGAAGGCCTTCTCCGTCTCATGTCCCCCCTCGCCCGCCGCCAAGAAGAGCATGAGGAACGAGGAATGAGGTGACCGAGCATGTGAAAGGGGCCCAAAGACACACACATTAATTCACACTAATAGCAGGATCCCCTGAATTTCCATATACTTTTCTGATGTTCGTCTCCCCCCCACTTCCCATATTTTCTGATATTTTCCTGGGAATCGACGATTCATTGTGTCTGTGTGTTTTTTCCCCTCCTGACATGTGGTCTGCACGGCGCTGGACACATCTGCGCCCCACCTCCCCCGGGGGCTGCCGGGAGCACCGTCAACCAGTATAGTAAGGAGGCGCGATAAGGACGCAAGGGCCTTGGAGGCCCACTTCGAGGCTTTTCGAGCGGGGCGCAGGCCAGCGAAAGCGGCCAAGGCTGGACCGAGGAGGCAAGGATGCAGGGGTACACGTCGTTCATTTCTACTTGTGCTCATTTCGAATTGTGCTCGTTTCTAATTGCTCCTGGCCGCCTGGTGGCCAGGAAGAGGCCCAGGATAGAAGAATTAGAAATGAAAGGATATTGGCCCCCAAAAATCAAACAACTTTCGAAGAATGGACCGAGGAGGCAAGGCCAACGCTGGACCGAAGAGGCAAGGATGCAAGGGTACCCTTGGGAAGTTTGCTCTTCCCTACTATGCGGGTTGACTGCAAAAGACGAGGAGGAGTCAGAAGAATCAATAGCAGAGACTGAGAAGAATCCCGTCAGCCCTCTGGGCGACAGGCGGTCCAACATTGCACCCTTGGGCGGCCCTCTGGGCGACAGGGGCACCCTTGGGAGGGCTGCCCAGCCTTGCTGTCATGGTGGACTGCAGTTGCCGGTGCCTGGTGGCCCTCGCGCGCAGGCCCGGCGGGCAGGGCGGGGGCCTTCCTCTCGCGACGGCGGCCCCAACCCGTCGGCACAGAAGGCACTCAAATAATCGTTCCCAAACTATTTTTTTGACCATCCCCTGTAGGTTTGGACGCCCCACAAATGGGTACGGAAAGACTGGGCACAATGCAGGGCTGAACCTAATCGCTTTTGTCTCGAATCCGCCTCTACCGCGAAACGACGTCGAAACGAAAAACGGCCCACAAAATCACCAAGAACACCGTTCAGGTCCAGCCCTGGTACAATGCCCAACAACCAAAGCTGTCCCAGACCAACAGCGGCCGCTGTTGTGCAGGCGGCCTTCTGTCTCAAACGAACGCAAGCCGCGGCGGCGCGATTGCGACTCGAGGTGGGCCAACGTCTGCCCTCTCTCCGCAGCAGCTTGGGCACTGCTTCGGGGCCTCCGAGGGGGGCTGCTGGGCTGCATGTCTGGGCTCGGTCCACGCTGGAGCTCGCAATCTCGTGCTGTCCACATCCAACGGTGTGGAAACGCTCCCCAGCGATGTGGATTTGGTCCACGCCTGGGATTGCAGTATCATGCAGTGGAGGCCCGACCACAAGAAACCTTCTACAAGAAACCCAACCCTGAGACCCCAGGACGTCCCTTGATTTTCGGCGTGGGCACGTCGCGCTCGTCATCGCAAAACCATCGGAAGCCAACAAACCGGGGCACCCCAGAGGTGTTCAAGGTGTTTCTTGACAGGGGCCTCCACTGTATCATGTTACAGTGGAGGCCGGACCACAAGAAACAATCCACAAGGAACCCAACCTTGAGACCCCAGGACGTCCATGGATTTTTGGTGTGGGACGGTCACGCGTTCCATCGCAACACCATTGAACCCCAAGAAACCATGGAACCCAGGAGGCAAGCAGGGTGTTTCTTGGCAGGGGCCTCCTCTGTATCATGCTGTCCATATCCAGCGAAGTGGTAACGCTTTCCAGCGATGTGGGTTTGATCCACGCCTGGGATTGCAGTGTATCACATGCGCGCGGGGATCAACTCGCTACGGTGGGGGCATTGGCACTGGCACTGGCCAAGGAACCCTTAGACAAGGAATCCAGGGCCTGGAAGCCGGTGGAACTCCCACCGAGTCTCGGCCATGGATGCCACCGCCGCCCCCATCAGATAAGGAACCCTCCAGGGTCTGCAGCATTCTGGGCGCAGTCCTTAACCAACGCCCCCACCGTATGTTGGCGTTGTTCGCAGGGGAGAGCGCGGGGAGCGCGAGGCCAGCTCCAGCGCGCTTTCCCGACGGCATCTCCTCAGTCTGCTATCTCGATTCACCGACGTGCCATGTCCAGCGCTCCGCGGGATCCTCCTCGTCCTCCTCCTCGTCCTCCACTTCGCCCTCCTCCTCCTCCTCCTCCTCCTCCTCGTCCTCCTCCTCCTCGTCCTCGTCGTCCTCGTCGTCCTCGTCGTCCTCGTCGTCCTCGTCCTCCTCCTCCTCCTCCTCCTCCTCCACCTCAGCGGGCGGATGGTGCCTGCGTGTACCCAGAGCTCCGCGAGATCCCCAGGGGCACGTCGCCGCATCGGTGCGCACGGATATGCGCCCCTGGCGGTGAAGTCCGTGGGCGCCTAGCATATCCGTATCCACGGCCTCGCGGGCGGGGCCCCTGGGCCACGATCCCGTGGCTACGGGGCGCTTTTTCGCGGATGCCCCGCGCGGAACGCATCCACGCGTCCGCATATCCACGGGATCGCGCCACGTAATCCAGACCGCGAAGGCGCGGATACGGATGCGTTCGCCGCTCGTCGGATTTTGGGGTCGTCTGGGTGGGGCCTAGGGCAGTATCGAAGGATCTCGCTGCCATCTTGGATCTGTCCTACACTTGCTTTGAAGCCACCCTGGGGCAGTTCTGGCGAAGGATCTCGTGGCCATCCTGGAGCTGTCCTACACCTGCTTCGAAGCCACCCTGGGGCAATTCTGGGCCGGCTTCGGCAGGTCTCGGGACCGCGTTGAGACGGGGTCGGGGCTTGTCCAGCACTGCTCAGCGCACTGGCACGCGCGCGGCCCAGGATTGCAGTAGAGATGGCGTCGGCCTCCGGCTTCGCCTCCCACGCCTCGCTGAGGGACGGCCCAAGCGCCGACCCAAGGGCTACAACCGATGGCGGCTGGGGTCAGCCTTTTCTTGCACATGGCGCGGGGTCGTCGCAGGGGTCTGCTGTCTGCGCTTGGCCTCGCTTTCCCCCGACCCACGCACTGCAGCTGATGAAGTCCGCATCCGGCATCGCCTCCCTGAGTGCCGACGGAGCCTGCTGCCATTGCCCCTTTCCATCACGCGCTCTGCTCCCAACCCTCCCAGGGAGGTCTCGGGACGACGGCCGCCTGCCACGCTGGACATCGCCGAGTCGGGCATGTGAGGAGCGTATGCTAGGGGTGATTTGTGGCTTTGGGCTCCGACTCCAACTCCAGGGCCTCGAATGCCCACCTACCAAGCAGCGCCAGAGCCCGCTGCAACTGATCGCGTGCGCCGTCTTCGTCAATGGATCCTTCTGGCCCGCCCGCCTCCTGTCCTTGTAGTGTAGACGACGTCGGGATCCACCCTCGCCTTCCACATCTCGCTGAACAGCCGCAGAGATCGCTGCCACTGCTCCAGCTTCTCGCGCGCGTCTATCCCATAGCTGTAGCTGACGATGTCGCGCTCCAACTTCGCCTCCCGCATCTCGCTAAGCATCGTCAACGCCTGCTGCCACTGCTCACCCTTCGCGTAGGCGCTAATCCCAATGCTGCTGAGCAAGGCGGACCCTTGCAACGGCATCTACAGTTGCTTCCTGCGCCATGGATCGCCGCTGACAAAATCACGGTGGTTATCCAGCATGGCTCCGCAAACAAAATATTTGAAAACGCGAAAGACCGATCTCAGCATAGCCCGGGAATCCCACGCAGTCACGTGACGACCTCTCACACGCTGTGATACCCAAATTGTAACTGATGGCGTCGGGCTCTAAATTGCTCTCCCGCATGTCGCCTAGCAACAGCAACGCCTGCCGCCACTGGCCGCATCTCTCACACGCGCTGATCCCACCGCTGTAACTGATCAGGGCTTCGAACCGGATCCAGAAACGACGAACTGTGCTGGGGATGGAGGCTCTCTTGAGAGCTCCTTGGCAACTGTCGGAATCTCGTGGGAGGCTGTGCAACACCTCGGAGTAATGCGTCTTGAACAATTCTTGGAGCCCCATTGGACCGTGTGGGAACCATTTTAAACCACTTTCGGACTGGCCCTCTTGGGCAGCTGCCCCGGCGTCTTGGGGCTGTCTCGCAGGGCCACTCGTCGGGGCCTCGTGGGCCAGCTTGGGGCGATCTTGGAAGTATTTGGAGCTGTGTGGGTTCCTTCGCGGCCTGGAATAATGAAAACCATTTGAAGACACATGGCGTTTGCTAGAGTTTTCGCCTGGTCTGGGGCC